AAATGCTACCATTCGGCTGAACCGGTAGTAAAAAAATGCTACCATTCAGCTGAACTGGTAGTAAAAAAACAGCTACCAGTTCAGCCAAACCGCTATTGCTTTTTTTTTTCCCCTCCCGACGATCGGCTGTTCTGGTGATGAACTGTTCTGGGGTCCCCCTTACTGTCTTACTGCTTCATCCAGGAGGCTTCTCTGAGGCCCATGAGGCAAAAGGAGCACACTGGGGGGGGGAGCTGCTGTCCCCCCCCCTTTGTTTTTTGCCTCCTGGCCCTCAGGGAAGCCTCTTGGGAGCAAAAATGGCTTCCCAGGAGGCAAAAAAAATGGAGCGGGAGCGGGGAGGTGCTGCCAAAAAAAGAAGAAGCCACGCCCACCCAGTCACATAGCCACTCCCACCTAGCCATGCCCACAGAACCGGTAGTAAAAGCATTTGCATCCCACCCCTGCTACCGCTGATCTTCTGGTTTTGCCTTGCAGGAAATGCCTTTGGTGAGATCAGTGTCGATGGATAAACGAGGAAGCCCCACCTTGTCCGGCTCCACCACAGCATCCATAGCGTGGCTCAAGCAGCGAGGAGACGAGTCCAAGGTTGGACACAAAGGTCCCTCCACTTCTTGCTGGCTGCCCTGGATGCCCGTGCCACAGCTGGAGGAGAAGCAGCAGCTGGCATCCAAGGAACTGGCCGAAGACTCTGGGTTTGCCCCTTTGCCTGCTGAGCGAGGTGCTGGAGAGACCCAGGTCAGGCGCCTCCGACACAGGTCGGAACCCCAGAACTTCAAAGAACACCGCTTTCTGATTGACTTGGAGGATGAAAACATCAGAACCTCAGACGTGTGATGGAGCAGCGAGGTGGAAACGGGCGTTCCCAGGACCAGGATGTTCTGGGTGAACAATTGCTAGCTTGCACTTGCTCCAAAAGCAGAGGTGGAACAGATACTGCAACAGAGTTCAAGCGAAGAAGGAATCGACACCTACCGTGTGGGTTGCATGCTCTGCTGGAGTCTTCTTGAGGTCCAGCATAATTCAGAGGGTGCCAGAGTGTCCACGATGGTCCTGTTTAAGTCTGTTGAGGATGCAGAACCATACAAAGGAGCTGACCCCATTCACCATTGGACGCGGTTCATTCCGCCATCACTGCTTCCTGTCTTGGAAGGGAAGGGATTCCCACATCATTCATTTGAAGGCCTTGATAAGCACGTCATGTTCCTGTCTGTTTGCCTGTGCAAAAAAGGCTTGACCAGAGTTACCTGGAACAGACAGCAATGTAGTATATCTACCCTTTCTGTTCTGATAGCAACAACAGTGTGGTTTTGCTTGATCAGTGGATGAATTGAAGGCAGTTCACCTTGTTTAATATCCAAAGCTTAGGCTAAGAAGAGAGTTGGAATCCTTCCCTTCCTTTCTCCTTTCCTTTCCTTCTTTCCCTTCCCTTCTTTCCTTTCTTCTTTCCTTCGGTTCCTTTCTCCTTTACTTTCTTCTTTCATTTTATTTCCTTTCCTTCTTTCCTTCGCTTTTCTTTCCTTCTTTCCCTTCCCTTCCTTTGTCCTTTCCTTTCTCTTTTCCTTTTCTTTCCTTCCATTCCTTTCTCCTTTCCTTCTTTCCCTTCCCTTTCCTTCCTCCTTTCTTTCCCTTCCCTTCCCTTCCCTTCCTAACTTCTTTCCTTTCCTTTCCTTCTTTCCTTTCCTTCCTCCCCCTCCTTCCTTCCTCCCCTCCTTCTTTCCTTTCCCTTATAGATGATAGTTTCATATGAGAACACAAGGCTCTGGTACTTACCTGAGTTACAACCTAGCCAAGATTTTGAGCTCTTCATAATATAATTGTTTGTAGCAGGTAGCTTAGCTATCAAAAAGCAACATGGTTGGGTGAAAAACATCGCCCAACAAATTCTAAGAAAATTCAACGGCAATAAAATCGATACCGAGGAAAGGGATTTTCAAGAAATTAGAGAAAAGAAACAGAGCAAGAACATCCTCACTGAAATGGCATCTTTTTCAGTTCTTCTCTGGGGTCTGTGAGACTTTGGGGGAAAAAATAATAATAGAGGTACCAAAAGGTTATTTCCATAGTGAATATCAAATGATACTTTGAGCAATGAGGCTGTCATATGCTGGGCAGATATTGACACCTAGAACCGAGTAATTCTTTTAATGACTGCCCAGGATTCAAGAAGATTTCAAGCTGGGGTCTTTCCTGGTATTCTTTGGATCCTGGGGACCTGGGAGGGGTGCAAGCAAGCGATATCATCCCCTAACACTTCGATCTATTGTGATGGTCGTGGAGATGAATACCTTGCAAAGAGGAGGAAGGTGTAGGCCTCATTTAGCCTTTGCAAGACTGCTTCCTCCTCCTTTGGCATTTCCAAGGACAGCCGAGTTGGAAGGCTGAAGAAATTTAATTCAGAAAATGTGGGAGTCGGGAACACCTGGCTGTCCCACCCAGGAGGAGAACAGAACCGAAGAACTACCCTTCCAAAACAAAGTCCAGCTTCTTGCTTTCTTCTCAAGTCTTCCCCAAAGTGGGACCGGACAAGCCATGGCTACCATGCTTTCATTTGGGGAAGGTTACGATGAATGAGTTCCTAGTCTGTACTTAGTAAGCAGGTAGAGGGTACAGGAAGTTCTGAATGGTGAGTAGGAGACCAGGAGGAAAGCTCTCCAAAGTAGATCTATTTCCTGGCACTAGTGAGATTCCATCTTACTCAAGCTTGGCAGCGTTCTTCTTAAGGAAAACAACTTCAGGAGACCTTACGAGCCCATCAGTGGCGGTACAGATTTGCAACTGAAAATGCACAAGGCTTATGTTGTCTTCCAATAGCAGATAAGAAGGAACTGTGCTCCTGTTTTGAGCCATAGGTTGTACGGTTCAGTCCTGTGTTCAATTGTGCAAAGACTACTCTCTCGCAGAACGTGTGAATATCTGTGATACAAAGATTCTCAGGTGTGCATCTTTTTGTACTTCAGCTAATTCAGGAATAAGAGTTTTGTTTCGTTTTGTTTTTTAAAAAAAAGATGCAGTATGATCTCTCCTATTGAGCCGGATGGGTATTTTGCTCTTGCTTCCAATTCCTGCCAAGCATTCAGCAAAACAATACTTGCTTGAGATGCAAGGCTGTAGGTGAATTCGAACCCCTAATGATCGTGGGTATTGCAAGGGAAGAATAGTGGCTGAAATAACCTGCATTATTCTTACCTCCTCAAAAGGAAAAGAAAAAAAAAAAGAAACTTCAGTTGCAACCGTTGTAATTTAAGGAAATTGAATCCTTTGCATTTTTCTTTCTTTTTTTCCTTTTGGATTGAATTCTTGCAACGGGCAAAACCCAGTCAAGAGCCTTACGTTGAAGGCCGCTATTTAAGACTTGGAAGTAAACTGCTAAAATCATTTAAGAGACCATGCTGTTCTTTGGTTTTAACATTGGTAACACAGAGGTGAGGAAGAAAGAAAGTGAGATAATAAAGCATTAAGTTGTGGGCCACCTGGAGTTTTTTGACACCCTCTGGAAGGCGTGCTTATTACTGCAGAGTTAAATGGGGTTTAATTCCCCAATCAGCAGACCCACAATTACAGCTTTCATCCATTTCTTTGCTTTGGATAATTTTTTTAGCTGTTATTATATACATAAAATTATGACCAGAATTTCATGCTGTCTCTTTCTTTCTTTCTTTCTTTCTTTTTCTTCTCATGTTGGATTTCATATAAAATTAAATACTGTGTCTTGGTGCAGGTAGTCCTCAACTTACAACCACCACAAATTTCTGTTGCTAATCGAGGCAGTTGTTAAGTGTTCTGACCCAATAAAACAAACATGTGAAGCAAAGGGAACAGAAACCTTTTAATGATTCTTACGAATCCCCGGTTAAAAAGCTGCTGCAAACTAATTAACTTTGATAAGCACAAACCTCGCCGAAACTGTGCAAGACTGCCAAGAATAACAGATAAGAAATATTTCACAACACAAGAGTCTTCAAATACTAAATTAAGATACTGCAATGTCCACGAGGCTCAAGTTTCAAAATGTCTTTGCTTCCTGCAAAGAACATCTGATTCACAGCTGGCTTTTATCTTCTTGAAGGAGGGGCATATTACCTTGCAGCCTTACTCCCGAGTCACCCGTGCTGCTGCAGTTGCTTTCCTGTGAGCAGCCCTGTGCGTATGTGCAATTGGCACAGGCTCCTCAGGAACCTCCTCCTCGCTGCTGCCAGCCCCCCCAATCTCTGAAGGCAGCAGTCCACTCCCTAATGGTCCTGGCCCCTCATCTGAGTCCTGGCTCTCCTCACCCGTCCACACCTGCTGCCCACAACATTCAGTGAGTTTTGCCCCCTTTTTATGTCCTTTCTTACCACGGTTGTTAAGTGAATTCTTGCAGTTGTTAATTTAGTCACAAGATTGTTAAGGGACTCTGTCTTTCCTGTTGATTCTGCTCATGACCAAGGGGGATACGGCAATGGGTGTAAGTGTGAAAAATGGGCATCGGCCACTTTTTTTCCGTACTGTTCTAACTTCAAACAGTCACTACATGAACTGCTGTAAGACGAGGACTACTTGTATCGCATTCATCACTTTCTTATACTGCAAGTGGTCATCTTGCGTGCCGGAATTGGGACCAGGATTTGTGTTGTTAAGCAAGGTGGGTGTTAACGGGAGCCGTGTCCGATTTTGCAACCTTTTTTGCCCTAAGCAAATCAGCGTGGTTGTTAAGTAAACCACATGGTCACTAAGCAAATCCAGATTCTCCCATTGATTTTGCTTGTCCGAAGCCTTCTGGGAAGGTGACAAGTGGTGATCACATGACACACACACACACACACACACACACACACGGGACACTGCAACCATTGGAAATACATTCTGGTTGCCATGCAATAGCAACAGCTCTATAGCACTGTAGCACTTATATACCACTTTCTAGCCACTTTCTAAGAAGTTTACTGAGTCAGCCTATGGCATCCAACAATCGGGGTCCTCATTTTGCCAACCTCAGAAGGATGGAAGGCTGAGTCAACCTGAGATAGATAGACAGACTGTTCTAACCAAGGCTTCCCGAGACCGTAATTAAGCACACGTTTAGTTAAAGCAACTCTTATTTTATTTCAACGCTGGGAATTATGTTCATTCCCAGCCTGTAATGAGTCCCAAACAATCCCTTGAGATAAACACTCACCTCTCTCTCCCTTGAATTGCTGCCAACAACTAGAGTGCCAAATGAACTATAAAAAAAAAAAACCAGCCAAAGTACAAAAAGTATTAAGAAAGTGCAAAGGTAGAGAAACCTTTGCAGGAAGCAACATTGTTCGCTCTGTTCAGATTAAACCTTGAAGCTTCAAGGTTTAATCTGAACAGAGCGAACGTTGCTTCTTGCAAAGGTTTCTCTACCTTTGCACTTCCTTAATACCTTAGGGGAGGGGCAAACACCTCCAAGCCTTACTCCCAAGTTGCTCCTTTTATCTTAGCTGCTCTTGCTCTGGACACACACGCACTAGGAAAAGGATCCCCTTGTTCTTCTGCCTCACTGCTGCCAGACTCTGGAGGCTCCGGAGTCAGCACCCAACTCCCAGATGGTCCTGGCCCCATCCCTGCATCGGATGCAGGACCCTCGTCCAAGTCTTCTCCAGACTCCCAGACTGGTTCCTGTTCTTCCCTACTGTCTGATTTTGCTGCTGTCTGCACAGGCTACCGGCGAACCACAACACAGACAGACAGACAAACGAGAAAGAGAGCAAAAGCAATAGCACTTAGACTTATATACCGCTTCACAGTGCTTTCCAGCCCTCTCTAAGTGGTTTACAGAGTCAGCCTCTTGCCCCCCGACAATCTGAGTCCTTGTTTTACCCACCCCGGAAGGATGGAAGGCTGAGGAGTCCACCTTGAGCCTGGTGAGATTTGAACTGCCAACGTGCTGGTAGCTGGCAGTCAGCAGAAGTAGCCTGCAGTACTATACTCTCACCACTGCGCCACCGAGGCTCTTGTGTGTCCAAATTTTGATCACATATCCCC